TGGTGTCGTGTCACTTGATTTGGCCTCATCATGTAGCTCACATTCCGTTCAAAACCAAATTAATTAATTCATCCAGCACTGTGAATAGTAATTTACTCGAGGTGGCTAGCGTCACAGGTAATTTATTACACCCGTGTCGAAATTTTTTATTTTGCTTATTGTGTCTGTCAATGCTAATCCGAATCTTACCTACGGCTAGTTCTGCACAATAATTGCGTAGAATCAGCTTAAGAGTTGTGGTTGGATAGTGACTGTGATAACAGATTGGCAGCTATTCTTTCGCACAACTGTTTCGGGTTCAGTCGCATATAAGAGAACTGAAGGCATGCTAGAGGTCTTCTTAATTTTGGTCTGATTCAAGGAATGGGATACAAAGCTATTTCCCGATATCTACTGCCACAGCTTCTGTGAGCCTCTGACTACTCCAGTGCTTGTGCCCTACAAATCGTGTATTCTACTTTCCAGTACTCGTCTATAAACGTCGAAACATCCCATATGATGTTGCGCTGTTCAAAAATAGACTCACAGCACTCATCATTTCATTTCGACTCCAATTTAGATAAACAATGAAATGATTATGTTCATTCACCTCAAACGACTGAAGGAATAATAAGCATGCTCGCAAAAGTGGAAGTCATACGGTCATGAATGGACATAGTTCGTAGATAAGATGAACTTGGACCCACCAAAAATGCATGAGACTGTGCTAAATTTGTTTTCGGCACAAGCGCTTACTTGGCTGAATAATGCCACTTGGTATGCCGAATGTTTACTATCCCAACTCCGCCCATGAAAGTCGAGTTTCTCTCCATTTCGTTGATACCATCAAAGCTTCTTAGCCCAAACCTCTCTTCCAGATGAAAACACCTTCTTGATACCTCGACAGTACTGATAAGCTTGCCTAAATAATGTCAACAGAGTTGAATGCGGCTGTAATACGCATCATCATTACACCCCATCCTATCTTCAAAGGTCTGAGGAACTGGCCGTCGTATCACAGCAAATACGGATAATAAGGGCCACGTCCATGCTGCCAGCAACTGTTCGGGCTCTTCCATTCATACCCTTACACTGTACTGTTTGATAAAATCAGAGATGCCAAATGGGCTTAACTTCCTTTCGTCACACTCAATCACCCAGACCGCAGCGACCACTCCATGACATGAATCTGGGTCCTCAAGCTGATTGGTCTTGCCCGATGCCTCCTGGAGAAAAGGTGACGTGGGAACGCTCAGACCGGCCACAAATTGACACGCCAAACACTCACGACTGTCAGTCTGAATTGGCCCATATCCAGCGATTCAGACCGAATATTGTCGAGAAGCTATTTGTTCTAATTGACTTGGCCACAACCCTGCAAATTTACAACGGACGTGCAATCTCGACCGACCACATTTATAACTTGGTCAAAGAATTCAGGAATATCAAACCACGAATTCATCAACGCTAGGAAGATATGAAGGTTCAACACCGATACTTCACTGCCACAGTAAAACATAATTAACTTCAAAGATTTATTATTAGGAAACGAATAAAAGTGCATTCAGAATGCAGTATGAGTTAGACTACCAAAACGATTGGGAGAGGTCTACAACTCCAGAGACTCATTCGGATAATCTTCACAATGTTCAACACCGATGCTTCGCTGCCGTACAACTGTGATTTGAGTTTTATTGTGAAGAAAAGAGTAAAGGTGGACGGAGGGGGAATTAGTGCTAGCTTATCACAATAATTCCGGGATGCCTATACTACGAGACATTCACTTAGGCAAACTGGATAGAAACTGACAACAAGAAGCCACTGACGAGCCATATCTTGTAGTCTCTCCAACCAGGCATAGTGAGGGTCACGCGGTTCCCATCCTGGAAGGCGGGTAGCACCGACAACACCCAAGCGTTTCGTGATCTTCATACCCCTGTGCCAACTCAAGGGTTGGCCACCTCACAGTTTACGCCACTCTGAGTTGGGCATGGAAAACAGCACTCTCTTCGGCAAATGATGGTTCGGCATACGCAACACATGTCCCAACCAACGCAGCTTCTGGTACCGGACACATTCTTCAATGGAAGTACCCGTTACACAACCGGAAACACGCTTTCTAACTGACTCGTTACGCATTCGCCGGCATTAACCCAAACGAGCTATGGTTCTGAGACAACGATTGTCGAATACCTGAAGACGTCTCAGTTCCGCTGCTCGAACAGGCCGAGTCTCAGCCATACAACAAAACAGCCTACACTGTAGCCTGATACATGCGTCCCTTGAGATTCAGGAAGAAACCATTCTGATGCCATAGGTGTCTCAAATTAACAAACGCGACCCAAGCCTTGCAGATTCGTGCGTTCACCTCATCTATCACACTACCATCAGAACGAATGCAACTTTCAAAGTATGCAAAACGCCCCACAAATTTTAATACCTCTCCCTGGATTGTAAGTGGTATGTTCAGTGACTGCATGTTCACGAGCATGGCCTTATCACTTTGTGGGTGCAATGTGCATACTTTGGTGAGTACATCCGAGAATGCCCGCGCCTTCTCTTCGGAGACGAGAACGAAGTCGTCTGTATATTGTAGATCGACAAGGTTTTCGTATCAGGCTTTTGGAACTCCAGGGTTTTGGAGACCTTAAAGCGCTCGTTTCATTACCTCATCGACCACGGAGATAAATGAAATTGGGGAGAGCTGGAATTGATAGACACCACTTTCCGTACGGAAGCTTTTGAAGGGCCCACCGTATACTTTCGCAAGTCCGGTAGTCTGAGAATACAAAGGGTTTGTTATGATCACGAACTTCCGGGGCATTCCTTGGTGGGCAAGTGTCTCCAGAAGAACAGACCGATCAACCAAGTCGAGTGCACCCTGGAAATCCAGGAATACTAGGATTGTGGGTTGCTTATACGTATGGCATTGTTCTAGCACCTGACGCAACCCATACCAGGCCTGAATCCCGTTTGCTGCTCTCGAGTCAGTGTTTCACGAGCCAACATAAGGCGACGAAGCACCAGTGACGCCAAGTGTCTCGTTACGACGGGGGCGAACTGATCAACCCTGTGGTTGCCACACTCACTACGCGCCTTTCTTGAAAACGAGCACTATCACCGATTCTCCCTAGTTGTCTGGGACATTCCTTTTCCCGAATGCAAGTGAACACATCGGACTGTGAAAATACATGCGCCATATTGGATCTTCTCTCAGGACTTCACAGTTGTTAGCTTCATATTGCCACTCATCTTGTCGTCGAAGTAGAGTTGGCAACAATACTGAATTGAGAAGAATAGCAGGAATACTGTCTCACATTGTCGTAATAATAGGGTCCTTAGTGAAATTCCCTACCTCATTTACTTCATTCCGATTTCTGTTGACTAAACCAAACTCCGTAGATTGAAGCAAATTTTGTTTACAACTTGGCAGAGGAGTACGAAGATCACGAAACGCTTGGGTGGTTGGTGCTACGCGCCTTCCAGGATGGGGAACGCGTGATCCTCACTGTGCCTGGTTGGAGACACTACAAGATATGGCTGCCAACCGATGTCAGTGGCGTTCTTGTCGTCAGTTTCTATCCAGATTGCCTGAGTGAGTGTCTCATAGTATAGGCACCCCGGAATTATTGTGGTAAGCCAGCACTAATTCCCTTCCCCGTCCACCTTTACTTTTTCTTTACAATAAGGCTTTCAAATAAGTTATGGTTGTACGGCAGCGAAGCATCGATGTTGAACACTGATGTCATGCTGTTGATGATGATTAGGACGAATATTTTCACCCTAGGGAGCAGAATTCTGGTAGATTCCAGATTGGAAAGTCTGCGCATGCTGTTTCACAGGACGGGCTCATAGTGAAGAAGTGTGGCAGAACGGAAGTAATGTCTAAAAATGACCAGTCAGTTTTAATTTTTGTGCAAGGATCAGTGCAGGGCATTCACTTATATTGAAGCAACGGGTAACTGGCAACAATGATACCTACGTGAAAGCTATCCTCCGCTTTCGGATGTGTTTACGCGAAAGTGGAACTGGTTGCTGCTTGAAGCGAGGTTAGCAAATGTTCAATCTATTTTAGATAAAAAAAATTTTGCATTGCACGGCTCCATCTTTGATGAGAATCTGCATATACCTTTGATGGTTATGCTAAGCAGACCGCATTCCGAAGATTGCGATAATCAACCGAGGTGTGCGACCATCGGAACTTCCATTGATTTCCTGGGGGATTACTTAAGTGAAATAAATTCTTACCTACCATATACCGTCGGTCTTTTTGTTAGCGTATCTGTCATCTCCCGAGTGAAGTTGCGTATAACAGACTACCTACTACCGTTGAATGAATAAATTCAAAAATATGTGATCGGCTGAACTACCTTTCGGTGCCTAGCTGTTTTACCACCTGAAGAAGCACGAGGGCTAAGATAATGACACGTAACCCAAACCTAGGCCTTCCGGTCAGCAAGTCTGTGCGTTACCCATCGAGCTTTCTCAAGCTCAAGATTAATGTAGGACGGATATCCGAACGCTCAAAAGACCATAGTCGAATAGTGCTACAGACCTTAACAAGAGAATCAAATAAAATGGCAATATGCTTGGATGTAATCGTCTGTTCTTTTTTATGCCGGGTGGATTGTCAGGTTGACACACTGATTCGTGGTGGTTTTTTCACTAACTTATCTAACGGCGAACACGTCGTGACTAATCGGTTTCATTACACAAGACTGGTTGGCCCATTTACCCGTGTTATATAACTTGGTGCGTTTCACCCTTTCACTATGACATCAATACTCTCAAGTGTTTCTCGGGCATCTACTCCATCCACACCTGTGCTTCGATGAAAGTTTAATGGCATGAAAATCTCAAATCTAGCTTCCAACCGATTTGGTTCAAACAGAACAATCAAACTGAGAATGATAAATAAGGTCAATCATGGATGAAGTGTAAGTGAAAGTCTCGTGCCCGTATATGTCAACTAATGCGTACCCTGCGTGTCTCAATGATTAAGCAACCGACTCAGGTTCTACAACGTGCATGACGTCCACGCAAGTTGGGGGTGCTAGGCTAGCCTAATTTCATATGGGAAGAAGGTAAACTAGCAACCAGAGCACTTTAAAACGAGCTTCAGTGCACTGGTAGGTCTTAAGAATGGCCCCAAGACGAATTAACGTGCCCTTGAAAGAATTGAAAGTGAAAATCTAGTGCGACCAACTGAGCTGCGAGACAGTTGGGACCTTCGAATATTCCACTAAAATGTTTGGGAAATGACCAAGCAAAAAGTCACATTCACATTACCAGATGAACCCTTTATTACGTTGTGCGTTCGAAGACTCACGCGAAATCAACTAAAATTAGCACCAGATCTTAACCCAGAAGGTATCGATATTGATATGTGACTAAAACATGTCGGTGTAATCCTTTCCATAACTCCATTTGAGGAATGCTGTTTACAAGACAGACTGCCACGCTGATTCGGCAGCACTGACACCGAGTAGAGGAGATGTACGATTATTTTCAACTAGTCCACCGGGTATCAATGAACAACCGATTTCCCGTAGTCAGGCTGGCAAGTTCCTGTAGAACAAACCGTCAAAACTTAGGACTTAAAAACCACTGCGGTACGCTCAACATGGGTAATTATCTCAACATTCAGTAACGGCTTACGAACGACGGCCGACAGTGGCAAGTCCCTCGCAATTGCTACCAGGTGGCCGGTAGCACGACTTCATAAGAAATCCCTAAAATAACAAATATAGAAGCGATACCGAAATGCTACCCGCTTCCTGGGTCACCATCATCAAGTGATTAGTGTAGCGAGATACCTCACCCAAATCATCGCCAATCCATAACTAAGTCGGATATTTAATGAGACGGTTGGTGCCTGGTGATGAAGGTTGGACTCGTTTCCCAGTGAGTGGATCGCTTTTGAGCTCGTATAAACCAACAAATGGAATATGACACCAGCTATTGCCATGTTTGCAGCATCCCGACTTGAAGCTGCCACCTTGACGTGATGGTCGGGCTTCAGTGCTGCAATGATCCCGCGGGCTACACTGGCTGGAACTTCGGTCCACAAGGTGCAACCATACCAGGAAGGCCAAAGGGGAGCAGCCAGACCAAGAGTAGCGAGACCCCGTACTACGAATAATCGTGCTACGAGGCGGTCTGGGGGTAAAGTCGTACTGTCCTCTGCGACAGGAGTGTGAAGGCAGTAAGGTGTTTCCCCCAGGCGACCAGCGTGTCCATATTTATGGAAGCAGCGATGCTGCCTTCCCCTGAGGAAGGACGGGTTGGAAAGGGTCGGCCCCAAAAACCGCACACTCCGATCGCCCAACGGTTAACCGTGACCGCCGGCGCATTATCCGATACGGTCGAAATACTTTTAAAACCAAAGAGCCCGGTGCTGCTCAAAAGACACCTGCTGTGCGCAGCCGCATCAGGAATGAGACAGTAATGCCTTATTCCCTGCGCCCTCGG